TTAAATAAAAACACAATTGATTATAGAGGAAAGATTATTTATCGCAACTTAGTTTGTTGTAATATCAATAGAATTTGCCATAAATCATAAAGACTGCTTCAAACTGCTGCATTATTTTTTCTTTTTTGGTGAGTCTACACATTTGTTGCTATCTGCCAAAATTATTAATCCAACTGAAATGCACTCTATGTGTTAAGCTGATTTCAGTTGTATCCATCTGTGTTGATTTCTGTAAAATAATGTGAGAAAAAAAATAGCTCTTTTATGAAATATCATCCCTGTGCCTTCTCTTAATCATTTCTTACTAAAAGTTGCTCTCGACAGCTTCGTGAACAATTCTTAACAACTCATTAAGAAGTCATTTAGAGGCATTCCTGGTGGTAACATGACATCTACCAGTTAATGTAATTTCATGACAGGAAAGAGGCTGGTAATATGAGACACATGGGTATAACACTGGACATTATTTATTTAAAAAGCAATTGTTTGTTAGTTTTATCCATTTTTAAAAACGTGCACAAGCGATCCACGCATGAACGACCACTCAGTGTCCCACCATCTACGTGTCAAACTCTGAATGCAGACGGACTCAAAATGTCTTATCTGATAAATGAACACAGTCAGCTGGAACAACATCTCTGTCTCCAGGGTGATGCTTTCACAAGAAGTACAGACATGTGTGCTTTTCCACTGCAGCTCCTCAATTAACTGAAAAGGAAGGATGAAAGACAGAGACCAGGTTAGGTGGCCAGGAACAAGAAAAATATCCATCTGACAGGGACTGTGGGGAATGAAGTGATACTTCATTTACTGAGCTTTCCATCAAACTGCTGCTATTTTGTCACACTTTCCTCTTCTGTTTTCTGGCTTTTTCTTGCATTAAAGCTGTAATCGTGTATCTAGCATCATGATAGAACAGTGAAATGATTACAGCAGTGGTTTTTGAAATTGGTTTATCGACAAGTTTACCAAAGTAGCCACACAATATTTTTTAAAGATCAGTTAATAAATGATAAAACTGTACTAGCTCGTGAAATGTAAACACCACTGTGATACTTACAAACTTTGAGCCAATTGAAATCCTGATTTATGAGATATTACATCAGTTTTTCTAGAACCGGTGTCAATCCATAAACACCGTGTTGCCGGATGAACTGTTGGCGAACTATCTATATGGAGAACGTTGCTCACGATGGAAAAATTTCTTAAATCCACAGCGGTGGTTGTGAAGTGAGAAAAAGCCCAAATCAGCCAAACCAAGAAAATATGATGATAGCTGCATGGATTTTGGCTTTATTGAGAGCACCAGCAGGAGGATGTGTGATCTGTTTTCGGCTGCTGGAAAACTAAACCGTAAGGCCAGCCAAGCTAAGGCGCTATCTGACAATAGGACACCCTGAGCATGTGGATGAATCACATGATCTCTATTTGTTATTATTTTTGATTCTTTTGATTTTTTAAAAGAACTTTTGGAATCATATTTTGTCTAGTATGTGTTCAATCTTTAGAATTTTGGAAAGGTGAGGAATACACTTGCCAGAAAAAGCAAATAACCAACCTTGGCTCATTTTCTGCTTTGCAAATTGCAAATGGTAGGAAAACTGTGCAGTACAATTGTTGTATAGATGTTGTGAATAAAGAGCTGTAATATCTTCTGTAACAGCTTTTATGTTATGTGATGATGTTACTGTTAGTAGGGGGTCTTTGAAAAGATTCTCCCTCTCATTTCCTGAAATTTTTTTGATTACTCACTGTGTTGTAGCACAAGCAGAGGGAAAGATCATATGGTTTCATTGCACTCATCTCTCGTTACTGCCATTGAATTGACTTGCATTACAAAGCATTTTCTTTTTTTGGAGCTAATGTGGCAAAGTGAATGTATTTTTCAGTTGCACTTTTGGAGCACAGAGCTCTCATTTGCTGATTAGGTGCCATACTAGTTACAACTCGGGAACATTCTGACTTGTACAAGGTCACTTATCAGATTAGACACAATATTCTCAAACATCATGTATCTCTGACAGAAGAAGGAACTAACTACCGAACACCACTGTTCTGCTAATGCTTAAACATAATATCAGTGAAATATGCAGCTCTTGGATTATTCCATTACACCATTTCTGCTTCATTCCTCTCGCAGGAGACTAATATTCAGCACTCTGGTAAGGCCCAATAGCGCTCAGTGATCCATGGCAAGGCATTTTGTTTTGATACCGTGCATTCCAAAAATCTCTCAGTACTGTTTTTCATTTTTATTACTGACCTACAACTAATCCATTACTTGCACGGAGAGCTGACGGGGCACGCAGATATTTCTCCAGAGTTTCCTGAAATATCTATTTCCTTTCTTTTAACACTGTAGACATTCAAGTGTTTGACTTCGAGGCTTTGTTGCTGTATCCCCTCTTCCCCCTCAGGTGCTGAGCAGGAAATTAAGGGATGGATCTGTACACAGTGAAGCTCTGATTAAGACCTGATGTTGCCATGCTGCACACATCAGCCTTATCTCCGACTTGTGGATGAAGCTTAGTTTTGATTAAATGTGACTTTAATTATATGTATATAGATATAGATATAGATATTAATTGTATTGGGACCCTGAAATCTTTGTTTTGTTTTTAGCTAAAAAAAAAAAAAAAAAGGATCCACAATTTTACATATTTTGTCATAAAACATTGCTGTCCTTTGGCAAGTCAGCTGTATCAGAGCAGTCTATGATTAAATTAGCTTCTGCTAACACAAGACATATGTATTCGTTTGAATCATCTGCTGTGCGACATTGTTTTCTGTGTCAGGATTATGATATGTGCCATAAACTGAAAAGAATTTACATCATAATCCTTAATCTTCTTAGCAAACTTTAGCTGCTTTATTAAAGGCTCTGTTCAGCAGAACAACACGAACGCACTCCGTCATTCTAACATACTGTGTTTATTATAATACGTTCCAAAGTGATTATCAGCTTTGCTTCATTAGAACTTTTTTTTTTCATGCTGTGTTTATCAGAAAACCACCATCAGTCTGCCGTTGAGCATTCAAACATAATATTTATTGGGGTTTTTTTCTTTCTTTTTGTGAAAATTAAAGAGAAGCAGGTCCACTGAAAACTCTTGAACATCAACAGGCAATTTTCTGAAGCCTGGATTTTCTCTCTTGAATTGAATTCATTTCAGCAGATTAAATCAGAATGAAAATAATCATTAGTAAAATTCAGTAAAACTCTGCTTAAGTAACAATAATCTGTGGCTATAATAGAACAATAGCAGTGAAAGAGGTGACATTTTTCTGCAATGAATACTTTATTTTCAATCCTTTAAGCACACTTTCCAACATATTTTTACTTAAATAAAATTTTAAAGCCAGGATTTAGACAGTGTTTTTTCCATCAGTACTCTTACTTAAGTAATAGATCAGAATTCTTCTTCCATTACAGTCCAGACCACATAACATTTCCTGTTTCAACACGATGCTATTCTCAGGAAGAATTCTGCCCCCTACAATGTCTGAACAAAACAGATTTTGTGACAAATGTGTTTGTGAAGAAAAGAACTGAAGGCTGTGTACCAGGTGCACTGTGCTCTGCGGGGTTTGACATTGCAAGATCGAGCCATAATTGCAGCCAGGTTCTACACCTCTCACTTCTCAAGCTCTCAAGAGTTACTGTTTGCCCATTTGGACAAACAATAAAGTCAGTCTGAACCTTTGCAGGTGGGACTAAAGTGGGAAATATCTAATCGTATCAAAGGCAGAATCCAACTAATTTGCATTGAGCATGGATGAAACTGATCCAGCAGCCAGGTCAGATGTAAATGAACGCCTACGCTAAATACCATTCACCATCATCTGCAGTTTTAGAAATTGGAGTCCTGTCTTCATCAGCTAACCTAAATAGTCAGTAGGTTGGAGACACGCAACTTTTTGGCATTGTGTTTGTACCCCTGAGCTATAAGAATGCAATTGAGCTGTTGCATTGAGACAATTCTTTTACAAGCTGATTTATTTGACAGCCTACATGTTGGTCCTGGACCAGCCATAGAAGGAAAGAAAAATAGACTTGTTCACACATGAGGTCACGTGGATTGTCTATCTTTTCTCCCATCTTTCCCTTCACCCTCTTGGGTAGTCTGAACGTAGTATTAGGTGAGACTTTGGTTCAGGTTATAAAAAATAACGTCGGGTAGAGTTTGGCAGAAGAATAAACTGTAATCCAGGTAAGCCAGTTTAAGGAAGAGAACCATGAGTTTGAAATCTGAAACATTACTCCAATATAAAACATACAACAGCACTGAAATCTCAAAATGACTGTTGAAGGGATACGTAAGCAGATATCCAGGCATTACGGTGTTACTATATGGTGTTTGGTTGATGCCAAGTGTTGTTCTTTCTAAGAATATCTGACCAGATAAGTCCATACAGGCCCTTCTGTACAGTCTGTGCACTCTCCATCCTGATATAATTCAAAAAGGGGTTCCAAGTTTAATAAAATAACAGAGGTTTGTCCTTATGCAAGGAGTTCATTCCCCAGGAAGAACTACAAAAGTGTGATCCTGCATCATGTATTTGCATTACTTTGTTTTTGACCATCCATTCTTGTACATTCTCTGGGCTTTTGGGGGGACAAAAAAAAAAAAAAAGTCCCCGCAATGCCAGGTGAGCAATTCATTTTAGTGTGAGGACTTGATTTGAGGATTGGATTAAAGGCTTTGGGATCAGACTCCAGGGAAATTGATGTAAGTCAATGTAATGTCCTCTGAAGTGATGGAAACACGACTGCTGCCCCTCTGTGTGTGTGTGTTTGTGTGTGTGTGTTCATGAATCTGTATGTACGTGTGTGTTTGTGTGTGTGTGTTCCCCCCTCGGTCTCCCTCGCGCCCCACCTCCCTGCCCTCCGTCCAATCAGAGCGCAGGACGTCCACTCGGGCCTCGCGACCGTGGAGCGGAGACGGTGGGGGAGGGTCACGTGTGTACACAGTGCGGGGCTCAGCAGCACTCCAGCAGTAGTAAAGCCTGTAACGGTCGGCCCCCTTTTCTCTGGATCCAGCCTCGTCCGAAAAGTTGCTGGCTGAAGAGCGTTTCAACTCAAACCCACCGAAACGCTTCTTCTCGCTGTTTTTTTAAAAATTTTTTTAACGCTTTACGACCGCGCGCGGAGAGACGAAGGGACGTTTTTTTTTTCTCTCTTTTTTTTAATTGCGTATTTTTTTTTTTTTTTTATCCCAAATGAAACGAGCGAGAAATGCCAGTGGAAATGCTATATCCATACCCAATGCCTCCGTAGGTTCGCCACCGCTCCTTCAAACCTATACAGCCGTGGTGAGTTGTCGTCTTGTTTCTGTCATGTCGTGAAAGTTGGGCTTTAATACCTGAAAATGAAGTGAGCTCGTCCCGCCGGGGATGACTGGAGAGAAGTAGAGAGAGAGAGAGAGTAGAGAGAGAGAGAGCAGCTCCGGTTGTTGTGCCAACAATAGCCGCAGAAATGGGAGAATAATGGTAAAGCCGTGACAGCTATCCACGCTTTCATCCGCCCAGTCAGTCAAGTGTAGGGACGCCATAAGGTGTAGTTTGTTAGCATGTTCCTGAGCTCCACGGCTCACGTTTTGTATTCGGAAAACAACACCTGAAGATGTTTCCCAAGGGACAAGAAGCTTTCTGGGAAGTTGTAGCAGTTTAATCAGGGGCCTCTCAGGTAAACAACTCCTTCATTGGCAGGGGAAAAAGTATAATTTTAAGCTCCCTACATGAGTATTACCTCTCCTCTTGCTGACAACATGATATCTACCACTGGGAGCTAAAACTAAGGGCATGTCTGTTTAATTAACCATAGGCAGTGTTTATAACTACTGGAAGATGACTGCTTTGCCTGCTGGATCAGTAAATCTATTAATGTTTTCCCTAAAATACCAGCCCACCAATAGATTGTTATTTATGTTCTTTTACTTATCTACAGTCTTGTGATGTTGGATCATTCATAAAATACAAACTGCTCAAAGCAAAATCACTGGTTTTGATCAAGTGGTTTCAAAGGTGCTCTTTGTTTTGATATCAAAGCTTTTGCTCATCGATAAATAGTAGATGCTAGCATGTGTTTCCATTAATAACCAGTCATATAACTGTGGCTAGTGAAGATGATGCATTCACATCAGTTCTAATCATGGCGGTGGTGATGTATTAGTGTTTTATTTTGACCATATGTCACATCAAGGCTGAATGACTGAAAAAAAAGTTGCTCTTCTCAGATTTGACTTACCGCTCACTAAATTAAACACTTCTTGAGATTTAGGCTTTGCACTTGTTGTCGTCAACTTGGTCCATGTGACTGAAGGGGACATGGGTGTGTGTGCTGTGGCTTAATGGCAGTAAGCCTGCTTTGTGCTGACCATTGAACTCCGACTTTGTTGATGCCTGTGACAGCTAAAACATGTTGCCGGAAAGAATCCGAGGAGGCTGCTGAGGCTGACCGTGACCTGAGTTTGACCAGTCTATCACACCTGATAAGCAGAAAGGCTCTGGCATTGTTTAACACCCTGTGTGCAGCAGAGAGTCCATCAAAACCAAATTGTTTTCAGTTTTTCTGTTGTTACTTGGTGAAAGCAAGTAGATATGGATGTATAGTTTGCATAAAAAAATCTGTAGTTTCATCTATTAAATCCATCCAAAGGGAATAATTTTGTCAGAATGATCAGAATTATATAAAACTTCTCAAAAGAAACTGTTGATGGCAAGTATTTTAATACCCACTGTGATCTTAGTAATTGTAATTTGCTAGATGTCATGCAACATTAGCATCTACCTGAAGACAGATCCCTCATTTCCACTTTAAGTTAATGGGCTGCTTTCCAAGAATAATAGGCAGCTGAGAAATACATTAGAGCAGGAAGAAATTTAGGAACTTTCCTAAATAAACCGTTTACATTTTAATGGCCTCTCTCTGCAGTAAGTAGTTTAAAAGGGCAGTTACTTTTGAGTTATACACTGACATTTGGGATAAAATTATGCGCATCAATTGTCATTATGGTACACTTGACTGCTGACAGTGCCGCACAGCCGCAGCATGTGTAAAAGTGAGTCGAGTAATCTTATTTTCTTTCTGTAGTAGATCTGTTGCTGCTCCACTGCACATTGCTGCAGACAAGAGTAGCGAATCATGTGACATCACTCAGTACTTTCTGAGAAGGGCCTGTAAATTCCAGTAAGGATATATGAGGGGTGTGGGCCCAGTATGTCACACTACTCCCATCAGCCTGCGAGATCTGGCTTCAAAACGCTGAGACGTCAAGCACGTGGGCGTCACTGTTACAAGATCGTGCTTGGTGGGGCTGAAGCATGCTGAAGCAGGGCCTCCCCCTCTGGGAATATTTAACTTAACCGCTTTTGACATGGAGTAGTGCAAAAAGTTCAGACGGGGCTTATCCAAGCCTACGACTGCAGTCGAAGCCATGTCCAAGAGGATTGTTTAGCTGGGGCTGTAAGGCTTTCTCCTAGCTTGTTCTCCCAAATGCATGCTTATAGCAACGGATGTGCATAGCGTCAATATTGAATACAGAAATCAATGAGTAGTTATCTGTCTTGTAATTAAAAACATCTGGATTATTAATGCAGCATAAGAGCAGACCAATGTGATGAACTGTTTTTCAAGGGAACAGCCCTTGAACGCTTTTACTAAACCACCAATGCAAGAAAAATAACATGACAAGTGATATGTTACCATACACCAAACACAAAAAAATAACTTCAATTTCTGCGAGCATACAGCCTTAAAAAGACGACTAACATAACTTCACTGTCAGCACTCAAGCTGTAAACAAAGAACATTGCCTGTAGTTTGTTAACTGTGTATCTGCGACCTTTGCTCAACCCCAACAACATCACTTCCTGCTATAGTCTTAACAGACTCAGAAGTGAACTTGAAATTGAAATAGTTGTCATTACCCTGAATTAAAAGAGACATAGCTCCTGCAGCATGAAGCTGCACGGCTTCCAAGTCAGGAGTAGACATTTTCTTTCACCTCGCCTGTTTTTCCCTCAGCTGAGTGGAAAACTAGAGATTTCATTATCATGGACTGCTGGCAAAATGTGCTGAGCTAAAGTGCAGTGACTTTCACAACACTCAAGTAAATGTTGCCCAGAGTGAATAGATGCAGACAGGAAAAAGCTAGCAGCTCACAAGCTTTATGTAAAAAGATCTGTAATGTTAGTATGGGCCGTCGCTAGTGGGTGTGTTTTTATTCTTTGGAGTGACTTACGGAATATGAAAAGTTGACAAATTGATCTCTGATGTTAAGTAGCTAATGGTAACTGGCGGGATGTTTTAGACTAATTTTAAGAGGTCCTTCAGGGTTCAGTATCAAACTGAATAAATGTGCATAATCTTACCTTTCTGAGGCTCTCAATGCCACTCCCAGTAGGAACATGTTGGAAATCCCATAATCTCAGTTTGAACTGCATACCTACAGTCCAGAATACAATAAAAAAGACACTAGCTTAAAGTTTTGTGGAAGATACTATGACTACAGAATGCAGGTACCGTTTCTTTTAACTAATTTTGGAAAACTAGTCATAGCTGAGAAGTTCCTGTATTACTTACAACAATAACCCTTTTTTATGTAGATATTTAAGATACCCTGCAGCTAACGGAAGCTGCAAAACTGAGCTGGTGTGATAATGAAAGGGTGGCCGCAATGTCTGTATACAGCAGGTGCTAATGAATGGGGACAGCCAGCCACAATGCAGCGAGCCCTCTTTAATAATCACCAACTTCCCTTAAAGTCATTTTCTCCTTAGGTGATGAGAGGTTGTTGGAGGAGTGAAGGGTGAACAAGCTTCATATGATGTGCAGTTCATTCAGGAAAAGAGGACATAATCAGTGGGAGAGGAGCATTGCTAATTATGTGCTTGTCAAGGTCCGTTTTAGTCAGTGAGTCATCTCGCTGCTGAGGTTAGAAAGCCATGTTTACAAGAGGGCTGACCAGTGCTCCTGTCTTGGTGAAGACAGGCTTTTTTGTAAAGAGTAACACTACACTTTCTTCCTCCTGATCCACTTCCACTGCGGCTTTGAGCTCCAGCCTCCACTATAGTCTCATTACAGCCAATTGGAGTAGTATAAGGGAGGGACTGAGCCCTTGTATGTGTGTCTCAGGCTTAAGGCCAAAACAGCCCCTCTGTAGTCCTGTTACGTAAGTGAACGGAAGAATGTTTCCCTTTTACTGGCATAGTTACTCATCCTCCTGAAAACAAAACTGCCTTCCTGCACTTTGTTCCGGGGTATTGTAAGAGGGGGGGAAGTTTCCAGACATTTCTGCACACATATTTTTAACTGTAAATTTTATCCTTTCTGCGGAGAATCATTCTTTTTAAAAGCACTTAAGGGAGTGAAGCCTGGAACATGTGGAAACATAACGGTCAAATTATCACCGAGGAGATAAAATACTGTCGACTTGGGTGACTTATCACTCCTATCCTGCAATATAATTATAATCTTCCCTTTCCAAAGCTATTTGAATAATTTATTCAAAATCACCTGAGTTAATTATGCAGGAGAGCATTATATAAGGTTTTTGAAAATTTGCAGCCCCCTTCAGCCTTGATCTCAAATGCTCCCGACATGTGCATGGTCATTCTTTTTTGACCTTGCCCTGAACTCCAACCCGCAACTCGTTCTTCCCTGACCCGTCACCAGAGCCTGCTTCACATTTCACTCTTTATAAATCTACCCATCACCACATGCCCAGCCCCCAGTCAACTTGGCAGTAACTTGAACAGAAGATAAATGTGCTTTACTCAGCGCCGGAGCACCAAAGCGGTCTGTAAAGTGTTCTTCTTTATCGTACCGTTTGACCGTATGAAAAGTACAAGGGCAGCTCTGCACAGGCAGCAATGCCCCCGCATGTGACTGTGCTTGAGAGAAAAACGAGAGACAGAAGAAGACAGAAAAAGCTTGCCAAGGTGTCAAACAAATGCAGTTTTGTATTCTTCCACCACAACAAGGGCCTCATTTGCTCTGGCCAGTGAGGAGAAATAGTGGGTTTTTGAGGCTGAGCTAGCAAATGAAACATATTGTGAGGGGTTTGTATTCAGCCAGTCAGATGCAGTGAAGTGAAATTAACAGTGTTACCCCATGGCATAATAGGCGAGTTGTGGCTGACGTGTTTTTGTGTCAAGGCCTTGCTTGCTTCTCTAGTGAGCACACAAGCCAATAACAGAGAGGGTATTATTCTGAATATAATTTTAAAAAGATGTATTTTATGACAAAAATACAGAACACACACGTTTGTACATAAAATACAGAAAACGCTTGTGTGCTTGAGCTCACACCATTAACAGTGTGGTTTTGGTTGTTTTTCAGTTGTACTGTTGTTTAAATTTTTATTTATGTCACGATATTAACCCTCTGAACCCCAAACCATTTCTGGCTGCTCCTGCCACATTTCTACTCACTGTGGGCTCATTTTCTTTTACTGTAAAATTTTGATTTAGTATGGAAAGAGCACAACCTTGGGTAAAAGTAGAAAAAAAACTTTCAAAAAAATGTCTTTTGCAGTTCAGCCCAGTTCAGCTGAAAAGATCCTGGATTTTTGTCAGATGACTGTTAGTCACAGCTGAGTTAGTAATGAAGGACAGAACTTTTTATTTTTTACAGAATCTGGTTTGTGTAAATGGTTTATTACTGGCGACCTTTTTAAACGAGATGTAGAAAAACATATTTTGACAACAAAACCAATGTTAGGATAAGTTCAAGGACCGTTGAAAGCTGATAGCTTTTGGGATTCAGGCTGAATTTCCGTGATTCACAAAGATAAACATATGACAGTGTTACAGCTAACCTGTAACAACTATGACATTTATTATCAGTGCAATAACTAACTCTTGTCTCCCCGACTTTCTGTCTGCAGTCGACCTGTTGAGAGTGCTTGACCAGTGTCAGATTCCAGCGATGTGGATCTGCATGGTTTACAATGAGACGGACACCAGTGTGGACTTCCGGCTCTGCCAGGACTTTGGCCTCATCCTGTCAGTCGTCTCGCTCATCTACCTCCTGGTGTGCTTCCCATTGGGGCTGTGCTACAATGTGCTGCTGGTCGTAGTGAACCTTTCCAACAAGGTCTCCATGACCATGCCGGATGTCTATTTCGTCAACATGGCCATTGCGGGTATTGTGCTTAACCTGGTGGCGCCTGTGGAGCTCCTGAGCTCCACCTTCACCCGCTGGCATGCATGGGAGTACAACAACGAGGTCTACATCACCCTGCTCATCCTCTTCAACATCTCATCTCTGGTCATCATGTATTCCACCACACTGCTCAGTCTGGACTATTACATAGAGCGGGCGCTGCCTCGCACATACATGTCCAGTGTGTATAACACCAAACATGTGTGTGGGTTCATCTGGGGTGGCGCAGTGCTCACTAGCTTCTCTTCGCTGCTCTTCTATGTGTGCAACCACATCTCCACTAAAATGGTTGAGTGCTCTAAAATGCAAAACAAGGAGGCGGCAGACGCCATCATGATGTTTATTGGCTACGTGGTTCCAGCTGTGGCTGTTCTTTATGCTTTTGTGCTCATTTTGCGCATTAGGAAAGAATCCACACCTCTGGATCAGGACTCTGCTCGCTTGGACCCATCTATACACAGGTTGCTGCTAGCCTCAGTCTGTGTGCAGTTTGTACTGTGGACCCCATACTACATGACCCTTTTGGTGCACACTGTAGCTGGTGCACCGGGGTACATTAACAATGCACATTACTTACCTACCTATTATTTCTTGAGATGCTTGTCTAAACTGCTGGCTTTCTCTAGCAGCTTTGCAATGCCTCTCATGTACAGGCAAATGAACAAAAACTTCTCCACCAAGCTTCAGCGGCTGCTCAGGAGGCTGCATTGCAGAGACCAGTCTTGCCCTCATGAACGCTCAACAGTGCAGCAAGTGGTGACGTGAGAGCTCCCCCTGGGAGATCACAGATGCCCCTCCTACTCCCCCCTTTCCACCTCTTGGCCTAGCCAGCACTTATCTCCACCCCCTATAGAGCCAGTGTCTGACTCTGCTCCCTGACTGCTCTGGACTGTGTTAAGAGCGACATAGCTAACTGTGGAATTTCCTGTCACCTTCCAGAACTTGATCTGATCTATCCAGTTTTGCAGTGGGAGGACAGACCAAGCAAAAACCACTAAGTGCTGCTTTTTTGTCACTGAGTAAAGCTCTCCACCAAGACACTTTGGGCTTCTAGTTCAAGGGTGGTAAATTTGGCACAATCATTCAATAACTACCCAGTGCAGTGTGTTTTTTTAGAGTTCCCCACAGACACTTACAAAATAGCCTGTTAGCAAGGGACTTCCAAGCACTATACCAGTGTCATGGGCGTGGTTTGTGCTGTGAATGCTCTGCAGACAGCCTGCAAGTTTCACTAATGCATGATTGTCTAAACTTCACTGTAAAGTCTCATTATTCTATGATGTGATTTATTTTTAAACTTTTATAGTGTTGCAGCACGATGCTTTCCCCAACACACAAACTGAACCAATAAGCTATAAACTTTAATTATCAAGTGAAGCCAACTTATTTTGTTGCTAAACAGAACGCTCTACACCCCTGCACTTATGGATTGTGGCTGGTATATCAGCGACCCACCACAGCTAATGAACATTGCATGTCAAACCTCCAAACCAGCATTTTGCTCCGTCAGTGAGTATCACTGTCGACTGCCCTGAAACTAGAAGCCCCGGTCACTTGAATTAGAAGACAGTTCTTCTCTTTTTATTCAGTTCAGCTCAATTTACCTTTTGCTCAGATGTGTTGTGAGTGATTCCTCATTATCAGCTTAAGTAATCTTCACATTTTAAAGGTGGAGTGATAATAACAGTCTCGTACAGAAACTGTAGCTATTTTCTTTATCATGCCAGTGCTGCCCTGTAACTAGAAATAGGTACTGGTATGAAGATATGTTCTCGTTTCACTTATAGATTGTGTTCTGAGGTTTTGATCCACTCACATGCACGATGAAGAGATTATTTTTACACGTGTAAAGCTCCACAACAGATTTCCTCAAATAGAAATATATATCACCACACCACTTTGAAGTCACGCAAAACAAAACAAAATGCTCATACAAAGCATGTATTCAGGGTTCAGACATAACCGGTTTACCTCTTATTACCTCTGCTGAAATAACATTACCTGTTAACCATACACAGTTCAAATCAACTATTAAAAATCAACTCAATAACCTGAACTGATAGCCTCAGCCCAGTATGTGATTTTTTTTTGTAAAGCTGCATTTTACTTCTGCAGGAAATATGCATGCAGAGCCTCACATAGGGTCAGTGAAGTCCACACAGGGTCACAGAGAGGGCCCTGAGGAGGTGGCATGTACATTCCCTAAATTTTATGAGCACTCATGAATAGATGGAAGGTTTGTCCAGTGAAAATGTGGAGACTCACCGAGTCACTCCAAAGGCAATATCATAAACCTTCTTGAAAATATGAAAGGCTCGCCTACCAAGCACCTGTAAACAGTGTGTTTGACACGGAAGAATTTGAACTGTAATGCTGCTCAGCCGTAGTAAGGTGATCTGCACATTGTTGGCAAAGCTGCTTTGCTTTCTTGCCTGCCACTTAGTAAAAAGTGAACGGACTGTTCTTGTAGTGATGAACCCCAGTTATATGTTGCAAAATAAAATCTCGTTCTTGCATCAGGTCTGTTGCGTCACTGCATTAGTTTATTTCCGATTTGCTTTCTGAATGAGAGGGCCAGTTTATCAATCACCCTGTGAACAGACACACCAGTGAAGTGGGGCATTCACTTACAGGGAAATTAATTGTCTCCTATGTTTGTGGACAGTTTTCATTTACACCTTCAAATAAACAATTTTGTGTTAATGACAGCCTGCTAAAATTGTTGGACTGTTTTCATGAGTGTGCTTCCACTAAAAATGGGAACGATTGCTATATGTACTAATAATGATTTGATATTTTTTCATTATGACATAGTTGCATACACACACTCTGTATGTCTTCACGTTCTAGGAATATGTTGTGTCTGCAGCTGAGGCAGTGTCCAACGTTTGATTTTTCTTCTGCAAAACCCCAACATGCTTTACACGCATCTGCCGTCAATCCGTAGCAAATCATTTCAACTGAGTACGCACGTTTACGTTTTGTGCCTCAGTATGTGCTGCCCCATTAAAATCTTGTACATATTGTGACACAGTTAATCATTATTTGAGCTTGGTTCAAAGTCCTACTGTTCATTTAGGATTGAAAAGGCACAGTGGTGCATGGTCAGATGACAAGTAGTTTGAAACGAAGCTTGTGACGATCAGACGGAGGACGTTTAAGCAACATTCCTAAAATGGTGTTCATTTTTAGCCCCGAATAGGTGCACTATATATTGAAAGAGGCTCCAATGATTATTTAATCAATACGTCCTGGAAATAGACCTGAATTAAAGTGAATAACACAAATTCTCGTCCCAGTTTTCATCCAAATGCATGTGTTGTTTTGATAATAAAAATAGTTTAGAAGTTTAATTATGATCTGGAGCTAAATCTGCATAAAACGACACAAAATGAAGGACAATCAAAGCCTAAATAAGATCATTTAGCTGCACCATGTTGCTATAAGAAAAAGAAAAAAACACCTGTAAGCAAAACACCATCAAGTTTACTTGGAGCTGATTTGTGCATGTGCCATTTAAAGTTAGCTGCCGTTACATACAGAAGGTCTGACTTTTTTTGCCAAGACCTGATCAGTTTTCCTTATCCATTGCCATACCTCCATCCATTAAGCTTTTTTTTGGAACTATCTCGCCCAGAGACAGGACCTAACAAACTCCTTGGCAGACATGATGATTAGTAATCACCACGTGGACTTGACTTCATGATGTTCACAAATGGAAAGTAAAGCACCGTCAAAGCTGTAAATCACACCTAAACTCGAGTTTGGTTTAGCATTTCAGAGGGGCCTAAATCTCACATCAGTGCAAAGACACATTATAATCATGGAGTTCACTTTAATAGCTGAAACAGACCGAGTGTAGAAACGCCCTCAACGTTCTCGTGTGTCGAATGTATGCAGATGCATTTTAGCTCTTTGAACAGCAAAACCTCAAACGTTCAGATGAATCCACTTGCGGATATGATGCTTTTGTGACTGTGTATACAAGTGCATATGTATAATATAAAATATTCTGTATATATTGTATGTGAAAGATTTACAGGAAGATATCATGCTCTTTCAAAAACACAGTATTAATTTGTAAGTAATTACTCTACTGTCAGCTGAGTCAAAGACTGATTGAACAATAAACTAAAATGAATGAGACCATTCATTCTCATGTCAATGAACTCTGAAAATACTCATAATAATGTGATAAAGACATCTGCTGTGCGGTTGTTTTTGCTTCTGCAACAAGTTAAATGTTGTGTTTCAGGGGAACAGGCATTTTTGTTGTTGTTGTTGTTATTTGAAAAAGACTTGTCAGCAACTACAAAATGCTGTTAATTCCAGCTCTTCAGCCCTCTAACCCGATTCAGACGGGGCAGGTTGTGCAGGTCGTCCCCTCCCTCTGAGCGGCAGCGACAGTGGGTGTGAAGACGGATGCCACAGCTCCCCTCCCGCTCGCCACACTGCGAAACAGCAGATTGCTTGTGGAAGAACCCTTTAACCGCTGCACACAAACTGGAGGAAAAATAGCAGCATTCCAGGCATTCTGGGAATTGTTCCGTCTTCTGTAGGTCTGACAGCCCCAAGACTGCTGCCATTCTCAATGAAAAAAAAAAAAAAAGCAATTTTGTGTAGGCTACGTCTGATAACAATGCTGCACACAGAGCCGCCTGCAAGTAGGAGCTGAATTAAAAAAAAAAAAAAAAGTAGCAACAGGAAGCGCTCAGGATTGAGATGATGAGGATCACACTGTAAGACTTTATAATTAGATGTGCTACCAGTAAGTCTCAGCAGCCGTGGTAAGGTGCAACATTGCAGGGAGGAGTGATCGCAATGCATTGCCACTACTACACTGTTTATCTTGAAGCAGAAAGCAACAGCATTGGATTGTGCGTGCATTAATAACATCTTAGGAGCTGAAACACAGAGGGGAAACATAACAGCTCCAACAGGAGGAGGGGGGGGGGGAGGTCTTGAATTATATGTACTACATCTGGAAATGATATGATAATGGAGAGAATTAAACATGGTTGCCATGGTTGCCGTTTCCCCTTTTGGGGACTGAAGTTTCATGGGGGATTTCAACACAAAGAACACAAACCATCAGTCAGTTTAATTTAGTTATCTGTTATGTTATATTTCTTTTTGAAAGTCGAGGAAGCTAATTGCGCAAGAGCAGGGGGTTGATTGTTCCTAAATGTAGTAGGGATGAAGACATGATTGCAAAAGATAACTGTTTAGATTTACATCAGGCAGTTTGCAGTTATTCATGAATTTATTTATTTTTTTGAAAGCAACGTGCAAAAAAGCTTAAAAATGACTGCAGCAGCTCAGTTCCGCTTTACACAAACACCACAAGGCTGCAGGTGCATGAGATAACAATCAAACATTGTCCTATTGTGTCATTATGTTTTTAACAGTATATAAGAGATCATGTGGTGTACATAGGTTGTTAAAAACAAAAGCTGGATGCAGTGTAAATGAACTTTGTATCGCATTACAGGTTTTACATTGTTTTCCTCGTGTTGCAAAGTGTACCAGGAAAAGCTCTTAACTGCGCAAGCATCTGTCTGGAAATGGGGCAATGCTGACCTAGCACAGTTTTTAATGTGCTACATTAGTCTTAATGTTGTTTTTCTCCTTTCGAGGTTCAGCCAGACCAAAAGTATGAGGGTCAGCCTCACTGGTGCACGCAGCATCAAACGGCATCAGACCACCTATGAAGACAGAACATTTGGCTTGTGGTTTCATGTGTTTTATTTGGCTGTCAACCACATTTCACACACAACCTCAGACCACCATTGTTTTTCTTACTACGGGTAGAAAAGAAAAAAAAAATTGTGCTGCACAATGTAAAGATGAGAACAAGGTTGGACAGGATACAGTTAGTAGTTTGGAAATCTTTCTCACACAGTTTCACAAAAGGGGACACAAAATGGGAGAAACAACCAAACAACAGGAAGGAAGGAGCGAAAGTGTGCGATCCCTGGAGAATGACAATATGATAATAAAGAAGGAATCAAAGAGTGTGAGTTGGGAATTTTGAGAGTTCATGCAAGAAAGAGAACAAGAGAAGTGATTCAGCTGGAAAAAAAGTCAAATAGAATGTGTAAAACTAGTGTAATTGTCCTGTATCTACAACGTGGTCCTGTGACTGATGAGTGGAATAACAGCCATAGTTCCTTTCAGAGGTGGGCAGCTCTGACCTTGACATATTTGAGAATCTCCCACCATAATGAATCCTACAGAACAGAAGAGAGGCTTCAGGAAGGAGCCTTCATCTTTGACCCGCCACATCCCTTCAGCTCTGGGAGAACAAGTGGACCAGGGCAGATGCTTGAAAAACAACCCACCCTTCCTCTCTTTGCCAATTCTGTTCTGTCTTTGCTTTTCCTCTTCAGAAAGGAGAGCAAAGACTTTAGCGAAGAAGAAGAAGAAGAAGAAAAAAAACACTAACAATAAAATCCCCGCATCAGCTAAATATCAAAAAATGGCCCTGGAAGCAGTGCAGAGGAGCCTGACAGGGCAGGATGTTCCATTCAAAGTTTGTGGTTGTGGCTGTGGGAGATGCTGGATAGAGCCAGCAGCACATCAGGACTGGTAAGTGGAGGCAGATGAGGGTGTTGTACCCTCCCTCCTCTAGACCTCCCACTTTCACTCCCCCAACCACAAGCAGTTAAACCGCACAACTTCCCATTAACAGCACTGGTCGTATGATTTTGTTCATTAGGTGTCACTGTACGGGGAAGTATTGTTGTTCTTTCTTCTAAGTTCCACGTTAACCTCATTTTTACAGAAGACGTCTTATAATAACATGTTTTTACAGTTATGGTGGGATTTTATGGTCAACATCATATAAAATTGAGACCAAAGGAAATGTTTGATTCCTCCTCTCTTTTACCATTCAATTGAATTACTTTGCCCTCTTCTTTTTTTTAGGCTGCCAAATTCAACATCTCACCTGTTAATGAACTTTCATACACCATCTCCATCAGTCATTTCTTTGATTTCTCTCAAGCCACTATTTCTTATGTTAGTCACCTCCCCAGACGTTATTCAAAGTTAATGCCAGTGGGCCACCCAGTGGACGCAAACTGGGATTGCATCTTCTCTAGCTATCACGAGCAACTTAATCCGCTTGGAAAAGTCTCACAAAGGAAATAGTTGCGGTCTAGTGTTTAAATTCAGAGTCACAGAGATCATTAAAAGGCAAAAAACAATCTAGAACCTAGGAGATGAAATGCCAACTTTTTTTTTTTTTAATCTGCGTAACTGACAGCAAAAGGTGTCAAACACAACCAGTCACTATGAATAAAATGTGCTGCAGCATATTTATTTCTTGGAGCAGTTTGTATCGGTATTTCCCATCACACATAATTTTGACCATTGTTAGCACATGCAAAATCCTGTTTCTGGAAGCTTGTCTTGGAGGTACATTTTCCAGACGAGGCTTACGGTTTACTTAACCTTGGGTTACCTCGCTGACTTACCGGTTTCTTGGAACGGCTGCATTGTCCCAGAATCAGTCAATGTCACAGTTTTATTTTAGTCCTTTATTGTCTTTCTGTAGATTTATGACCTATGCACCAAATCTGCTCTCTACTGGTAACAGATAGTTTAACTGCTTGTCATTTATATTCCAAAACCAACATCTATTTTTTTACTACTGGAAGCTCAGACAGAACTCATTTCACCTGTTCTGTCTGAGAAATAGTCCCTGCATTAAATTGGTCTCATCTCACATCATTAATACCGAGCAGAATATGCATCCGTTCCTTCTGTTCTTCCTCTCCTCTTCCTCTCCTCTCTCTGACAGTTTCTAGCGCCTTTCCACCAGACTGACCACAACATCCCCACTTTCCCCTTATCTGTGTGAAGTCATGCAGACTGAATAACTTAGATTTCAGGTAGCTGGGAGAAAATGGCACAAATCTGCCTTGGCTGTGTGACCTCTCAGACCTTTTGCTGTGTTCCTTCTTCATCTCAGCTGCTGAGTAGAGCTTTCTCACACAACTAGAATCCTCTTCTTCTAACCCACAGAAACTGCTTGTCTCTCCTGTCAGAAACCCAAACTTGTTTGTGCCAGCAGGACTGCCAGCTGCCGTATTGACCCTGTCTGCTCCTTCAGACTATCACTACTGCTCTGCTGCGCCATATAATGACTCCCAGAATCAGCTCCTCCAAGACATGAGGCATTGTGCCATCTGCACACAAAATAGTGTGACATACTCCTCTGAAGCCAGCACTTGACCTGACTATCAAAAGTACCTCCACTTTTTTTACACTTAAGCTGCAACCGCTTTGAGTGTCCAACTGTGTATTGCAACAATTTGCATTATTAAAATATGTGCAGACCATTTTCTCACACTGTCCTTAGTCTATGTTGCACTGAAAGCATTACAAGCAGTCGAATAGCTACAAACTGGACTGAAGGAAGCCAAGACATCCAGGCACTGACGTGCAGATTAGCACAAACATCAAGTTGAGACTGACGGGTCTCAGTGTTTTTACTGCTGACAATAAAAAGCAACCCTTCCCAGACCCAGTTGCTTCAATAAAAAGCAGCTTAAGTTTTCTTTTAGGTTCTTGAAGACATTTTATCGATCATCCAAGGGGCTTCTTCTTCCTTTGAATGAGAGGCAAAACATCTTCAAGAACCTAACAGAGTGTAATTTCTTGAACATTTTACAGTTGTTTTTTTTTTCCTGCTTTTTAAAATTGCAGATAATGACCCATTAAATCATAGAAAAACATGTTTTAATTTAATAGTTAACTGTAAAAAAAATAAAATAAAAAATTGATCTAGCCAAAACTGTTAATAATATTCAC